TATCGCAAAATAGTTTTAAAACGAGCATATCTTTAGAATTTTCGATACAGAGACTCACGTGCTGGAGATAAAAATGTTTTTTCTGCACAACGTTGCCATTGCTCGCTTTGAAATCCTTGAGTTTGTTAATCAAAAATTCGTCAAAGTTTTAAAAAATAGGAAATCGATCATAAAACAAATTTCAAATTTCAAATTTGGTCTTCCACATGCTCATATTCGTTGGAGGATTACGTTATTCAAAATTCGATGACTCTATGTACCGTTGTTTTATCAGAATACGAGGAATATACATACATTTATGCAGATTTTTCATTATTTAATTTCTTCAAATATAATGCAGGACTCTAACATTTTGTGGCAACAGTTTGAAAAGTGAACCGACATTTATGAGTCCGACGCAAAAAAAAAAAAAAAAAAAAAAAAAAAAAAAAAAAAAAAAAAAAATCAATTATGCCTCGTATAAAACAGCACAGCCATCATCGTTTGATCAAGTATCCGAGTTCGACAGAGGAAGGGTAGTGGCCTATCGAGAGTGTGGATTATCTTTTAGGGAAATCGGTAGTCGTGTTGGACGAAACCAAACAACTGTAATGCGGATATGTGACCGTTGGATGCAGGAGGGTACGACGGACCGACGATCGCATCAACCTCAGTGCACCACTTCACGTGATGACAGGAACAGTGTGCGCGTGGCAGTGACGGATCATTCAGTCACATCACGAACCATAGCACAGCACATTCAGTCTGTAACGCATCATCCGTGTCTGCGCGTACCATTTGACGCCGTTTACAGCAGAGTGGTCTGTCCGCAAGACACCTATTGCTTCGTCTACCCTTGACGCAGAACCACAGACGCCAATGGTGCGATGAAAGAAGGATGTGGACGGCAGAATGGAATGAAATTGTCTTTACTGAGGAGTCACGCTTCTGTCTGCAATACCACGATGGTCGGATTCGAGTCTGGAGACACCGTGCAGAGAAGATGCTAAACAGCTGCGTTATGCACCGTCACACTGGTCCTGCACCGGGTATTATGGTATAGGGCGGTATTGGGTATCACTCTCGCACTCCTCTAATACGCATTGCCGGTACTTTAAACAGCCAGCGCTACTTCTTTGAGGTGTTGGAGCCAGTTGTCCTTCCTTACCTTCAGGGCTTGCCCACAGCCATATTTCAACAGGATAATGCGCGACCACACGTCGTGGCACGCATTGTCCAAGGATTCTTCGTCAATCGCCAGATTGAATTGTTTCCCTGGCCGGCTCGCTCTCCGGATCTTTCGCCGATAGAAAACATGTTGTCCATGGTTGCTGAACGATTGGCCCAGATTTCATCCCAAGCTGCGACACCAGATCACCTTTGGCAACGTGCGGACGTTGCTTGGTCTGCTGTACCCCAAGAACGTATCCAAAGTCTCTTTGAATCAATGCCGAGGCGTGTGGCAGCGGTGATCTCCAACAATGGCGGCTACTCTGGCTACTGATTCTGGAAAGAACCACACTTCACAGAAGTCTATAAATTTAATCATTTGATACTTGGTCAACATGTTATCTACTAAATAAATTTTATTGTGATATCTCTTGTCTTTCTTGGTGTTGCAATTTGGATGGCCAGCAGTGTATATATACATAGTTCTAGATACTGTTAAATTTTACTTAGTGAAAAATTTTCTGAAGTATTTCATTTGAAGGAAGTGGATAGTAATTAAAAAGTCTTTTCAGACAATAATAGATTTTAAATTTTAAGCAAATGTAAGCGTAGTGTTTAAGTTACTACAAAAAAATGTATAATCATCATTTTGTGTCTTAAAAAAAAATTGGATTATTATAGAAGACAGTGACTTTACTGAAATTGTTGAGGAACCTTACTTAACCAAATAAATATACCTACATTCAATGATCGTATTTAGAAGGCTCTTCGTAAGCTATTACAAAATATTTATATTTTTTAATAAAGACAGATTGGGCATTCTACTCACATACTGTATTTGTACATGTTTTAATGATACACCAAATACAGTTATTTACATATTATTCCAGTTTTCCAGAAATCTCGTGAGTTTCACATTTAGGATTATAAGTTTTAAAATATTATGTATTTTTAAGAATAATGTACTTACTTACAATCTTGCACAAAAGCATATAATAATTTGAAAGACACATATTTTTCATAACGTCGAAAATTGTCAGTGGTCATCTTAAAGTACCGTAATCATCATAATAGTTAATTATTTATTTCAGCATTATACAGGATGCATAAAAAAGATTTCACCACTAAATATCTCTTGAATAATTGGTCGTAATATATATGTTTCCAGTTAATAAAATAAATCAAGCATGGGATGCTTTTAAACTAGAGTGGTCACAAATCATCTTTACAAAAATGTGCAAAATTTGAATTGTTATTCATAATTCTGTAGAGAAATAGATCTGTACAGGAAGACTTTACACACACACACACACAATATATATATATATATATATATATATATATATATATATATATAAATATGGGATAGTTCTATGTCTTTCGTTCTACTGGGCCGATTGACCAAATTTTAATTCCATTTTCCATGTCTCCAAATCGAGACAGAATATATATATATTAGATTTATGCGTGCCATTGTTCTAACATATGACACAAAATATGAATTTTTAAAATTACATACCGATTTTTCCCATATTTCGATTCTATGATTAAAATTATGCACTAAGTTTGATAAAATTCACAAGATTAGTTTTTAACAAATTAGCTCTTAAAATTTTAGCTCCTTACTGTTAGTTGAATTTGTTATACGTATTTTTAATAACTCTTTTTTATTAAAGTTATTTGATTCCTTCTTTCACATTTCGAAATTTAGGTTCAATCCAAATAAAATTCGCTGCTATTTTCTGATTTGTTTTTAAAACTTGTACATTCAAAATTTTTTAAGATATATTGGACACGTTTAAAAGCGATGAAAACGCCAAACGTATTTTACCGCACTTTGTTGAAATTACTTGAATGAATGATGCACTTTTTTTCGCTCGTGCACAACGAAAAGGAAAGTAATTTACCATATAATAAGAATTTCTTAGCAGATAATGTCTGCCACCGTAGCAGTCCATGTCTGCGAAAAAGAAAAGCAATCTGAATTTTATGTGAATTCGAACTACACTGGTTATCATAAATTAAGGAAAAATCACAAAAATAGCGATAACTCCCTCAAAAATAAGCCAAACCGTGTAAAATTTAATATGTTGCCAAGTAAGAGTAGCTGAGTAAAACTACGATATGCAAATTAGTGGCGCTGCTTTCGGAATACGTCATCTGCGAGGAGCATAAAAGTCCATGTTTGAGAGCAAGCCCACATATTTCACTGTGACAGTGATATCAGAAATCTGAGATAGCCAATTCGTAACAATGACCTCCAGGCATCATTTGCCTGCAGAACTGCGATGGAGAGCCATTGGGAGACTAGAGGCAGGACAAAGTCAAACAGAAGTGGCCAGATGGCTAAATGTGAGTCCTTCTGTGGTTCATAGACTTTAGAGGCAATTTCAAACCACAGATTCGGCATTTAGGAGGTTCAGCCAAGGACGGCCAACTGCTGCGACGAGCGCCGATGACCGATATTTGACATTATGTGCACGCAGGAATAGAACCGCTACTCCGACTCTTCTTAGATCCTCCCTTGCAGCAACCACCGGAAGGTTCGTATCAACATCAACTGTGCGTAGAAGGCTTCACGAAGGTGGTCTGTATGCGAGGCGACCAGGCATTTGTGGGCCGCTCACGTGACGCCATAGGAGGGACCGTTTTCAGTGAGCACGACAACATGTCCATTGGACGCCTGATCAATAGAGGGCGGTTCTCCTTACGGATGAATCCAGGTTTAGTCTAGAAAGCGTTAGTAGGAGTTATTTGATATGGAGAGGACCTAGAACCCGTTATCATCCGTCAAACATCCGTGAAAGAAATGCATACTTAAGGGGCAGTGTCTGTGTTTGGGGTGGCATCTTTTTGGGTGGACGCACAGACCTCTATGTCTTTTCAAGGGAAAACCGTGAATGCTCAGATTTATAGAGATGACATCCTTGATGTTTATGTGCGCCAATATGTCGGGGCAATTGGTGATGCTTTCCTATTACAGGACGACAACGCAAGACCACACAGGGCTCGCATGTTAGATGATTATCTTCAACAGGAAACAATTATGCGCATGGAGTGGCCAGCTCGATCCCCGGACTTTAATCCTATCGAGTACGTTTGGGATGATTTAGAGAGACGTCTAGCTGCTCTCAATCCGCCCCCTCAAATCCTTGTCGCGCTTGCAACTGCTTTGCAAGAGCAATTGCTCTCGCTTCCTATGGAACTGATAGACCGCATAATTGAAAGCATCACTCATCGCTGTATGTGCTGTATTGCTTCTAGAAGCGATCATATTCCATATTGAAGGTACTTTTCCTATAGCAAACTGACACCTTCGATTTGTTCATTTTACGCATGTGCTAATTTCTATACTACCAGATTTATGATAACCAGTGTTTATAACACTTAATCATTTTTAAGAATGATAATTTGAAACCAATGCTGGTATATTAATGTTAATCTGAAATAAAATAGATTATTTAAAGTTTTCGTACAAAAATTTAATAGTTTTAGTTTATGCGAAGTTTAATGCGTAATAAGTTTACATTTCCCTAAAAACGTTTGTCTAATGATATCTTTATTTTTATCGTATAAAGACCTGTTTTGGGCGGCTAATTCAAATATAAAAAACCACGTTTATCATTGAAAAGTTTTTCTGTGTAAGACAGTACAAAATTTAAATTTTACATATTTATACTAAAATATGTCAAGTACCAACAATTTTGATCTGAAAGTCTACCTTATTTGATTCAATTTCTCAAACTGGAAAAATGAATCTACGAATAGTAACTGTTCAAGACATATTTAGTTGTGCATTCTTTCTTATTCATCTTGTACAATCCTCACCTACATGCACTGTTCTAAAGTTTTTAATCGTAATCACCCTCATCATAATCATATTCATCAAATTCATAGTCTTCTTCTTCTTCATGCGTTTCTTCTTTCTTGTCGTCATTTACTGTTTCGTAATCATGTTCATCATAATAAGAAACATCATATTCATTTTCAGGCTTAGGCGGTTTGTGTACAGGAACCGGAACAGGGTAAGGAACTGGAAAAGGTTGCTGATGTTTATGTTTCATAGCTAGCTTCAACTTCATTTTTTCGAGGTGGTAAGCTTTCATCCTGTGCACATGGTCTTTTAACGATTCCATCTTCTCAGTGAACCAACGTTTCGTTCCGTTCTTATGCTTGTAATAATCCTCGTTATAATAGCTTCTATACTGATGATTGGAACGAGATGGTGTATTATCGTAATAATCATAATTATCATTAGGCCATCGTCTTCCTGGAGGTGGTGGCCGCGGCGGTGGTGGAGGTGGAGGTGGAGGTGGTGGACGAGGTGGCGGTGGAGGAGGAGGTGGGGGAGGAGGAGGGGGAGGAGGAGGTGGGAGGGGGGGTGGAGGGGGGTGGTGGAGGTGGAGGGGGAGGAGGAGGAGGGGGAGGGGAGGAGGAGGAGGTATTGGAAGAGGAGGAATTACAGATGGAAGCGTAGGAAATCCTGGCAGCGGTATCTGTGCAGGATTAAATACATAGAACTGTGGATATAGCCGATTTGGAAACCGTTGAGGGGTATAAGGATATTTTATTGGAGCTATGAATTTCTTCGGTTCTCTTTCTTTTTCCATGTCTGCTTTTACTCTGGCTTTGTGCTTTTTGTACATCATTTTCATTTGGTATCTTTTCGTCTTCAGTTTCATGTCAGTTAACTTGGCTTTCATCAACATGAGCTTTCCTAGTGTGTCTTCCACGGGACTTTCATGTTGTGCCCTGAGAATAAATAACAAAGAGAAAAATGAAAATTCAGAATGAGAAACCTTATAACTTTTTTCCGTAATGTTTAATGTTTTAGTTTAATAAAATCCGTAAAGTACCAGATCACCCGAATAATAGGTTACTCTGTTCTAGGCTAGGTTATTTTGGTCCTGTTCAATTCTTATTTTGTGTCCGTTTCGTATGTACTCGTTATTAAGATTTTGGAGCAGCCGATTCGGCTGTTAGGTCACGTTTAAACTTTCGGTCAAAAACAAAATAATTCATTCTGAAGAGATTTCTTTTGCCCAAAATTTTTACCGTTTTGCAGTTGTACTGCAACGTGGTAAAAATGCCGCCTCCCATACAGACATATACTTAAAAAAAAACATTAAAGCAATTAGCATTGGACAATCAAAAATACAAATAAATATGAATTAACCATTTCATTAAAGAAATAAGATTTTCACATTATCCACTTTCCGACGCAGTTTCTTTTGTAACATGAATAAACGCCCCCTAAGAGGAGAAGAAAATTTTACCATACCTTCGCGCGATTTTCGAAAGATTTTAGTATATTTTTGGTTGGGGAACGAAACTTATTAGTGAGAAAACTTCCAAAATGGGTGCGTGGGGATATTTCTTAAAAAGCATCAACGTTGATTGCCAACAATAAAGGACGCTTTAAAGAATTTGGGTAGTATTAAAAAGCGCACAATGATTATTGAAAAAATAACATCGGAAGAGCAGATGTGTTCGTAGAATCAGACATTTCGAGAGTACAGTTATTTATAGCTATTACAGAAACGAAGTAAACGTTTCAAGACATTTTAATTTGTAGATATCTAAAGGTTCTTCTATAAACAAACTCCTGATATCTCTAAAAGTATTTATTAACAGAGCACAGGAATAGTTACAAAGAAAATATGTATCAAAACAGAACATACACCAAAACGGAGCATTAACATGTAGAACTAGCATTCGAGTCACGGAAGCATAATATTGTAGAACCTATCTTCATCGCAGCTGGAAGTCGATTGGTTCTTTAATTGTTCTCGTTACAACTGGATGGCGTTAGATAAAATAGTTCGACTACATCCAAATAGTTCTGTTACAATTACATGCTATTGATTTCTTTATGTCTTTCCTTCATTTTTGATTTAAAATATATCTTAATGCTTTATGATGATGTTTATTCATCATTTTGTTTTACTTATTTGTACAGATAAGCGATCTATGCATTCAATTCCAGACATCAGGCCATTCGAGATAAAAGATCTCCTGTTCGTATTTTCTATATTTTTCTTCTATTCGTAATAAGTTCATGACGACAATTTAATGAAACTTGAACGAATGTAAATAGGTAATAAAAATCAAACTATCTTTTTTGCGAAAAGATAATATCCATTATTCATAAGGATAAGGATAACAAAAAAACAATAATTAAAACTAATTCAAAATTGGCAGAAAAATGAAGTAAACCCAGCTATTTTTACTGACAATGGTGACAGAATTAACAGCTATTGTATGCTCTACACAAAAAAAGGGGGGACGGTTTTATATCTTCCATTCTACTGGTCTGATTGACGAAATTAAGGCTTTGTTTTTCATCTCTCGACAGAGCGACTTAACGAATATATTAGAATTATATATGATATTGCTCTAACATAGGTATTTTGACACAAAATCAGACTTTTTGTGAAATGACATGCAGACGTTTTTTCATATTTCGATTCTATAACTCAAATTATGCCTAAATATTAAAATTTGTAAAATTTGGTGTAAAAGTTACCGAGAAATTTAAATATTTATCAAAAAATTATAATTCGCTTGGCGAAATTCTTAATGCATGTTTCTTTAATGATTTTCTTTATAGCATATTTTTTAATCCTAGATGCTGCATTCAGATCCGTAAACCACATTTGGCGTTATTATTGTTCAAAACAAAGACGTCAAATTTCAAAGCATGACAATTTGTAAATTCACGTATATTTTAGGAAATTTTAAATATAAAATCTCTAATTTTTAAAGATGTCGAATTTCAAAACGTGGCAATTTGTAAATTCACTTATATTTTAGGAAATTTTAAATAAAAAAATCTCTAATTTTTTTCTAGTGTGCTAAGAAATACACTTCTTTACGATGATGGTAAAACTTAATTTTTTTCTAAAAATTTTAAAAATTACTAAAATGTATAAATTTGAAAAATAAATCTGAAAACATCTGCAAATTTCATTTCGATTGAATCTAAATTTCAAACTGTGAAAGAAGAAATCAAGTGAGTAAAAGAAGAGATATTAATAAATATGTACCAGATTCAATTAACAGTGAATAGCTAAAATTGTGACAGTTAATTTTTTAAAAATTACTTGTACGATTTTTAAAAAACTTGGCAAATTTGCATAACTTCAGCCGTATAATCGAAATTTTGAAACCAAATGAGCATGTTGCTCCAGAAAAGTCCGGTTTTGTGTTAAAATGCTTATATTAGAACAATGCTACATATAAATCTAATATATATCCTACGTCGCGCTTTCGAAGCACATAAAACTCAAGTTAATTTTTGTCAATTTGCCCAGTAGAACGGGAGATACTGTACAACTGTGCCTCCCTTTTTTTGTGCAGAGTGTACATGATTTAAGTTAATTAATCTAATACTATTCACACTTTACGTTGACTTTAAATGCCTTAGTCATGGCTTCAGCCATCGTGGACAGTTGATTATATTACAGCTCTGCATACTTATTACTTTAGACATTATCGATTGAACCTATCTTTTGAAAAGTGGCTTTTAAACCTAAAATTTATCCAGAAAGCATACATTAACAAAATAAGAAAGAAGGGCAAGATATAAAGTATTTTAAAACTGGACAACTGGAAAAGCTGATAGCGATTGACTGAAATTTATACGCGTGGTTTAATAAGGGCAGGTAGCCTGAATAAAAAAATAATAAAATAATCTGAAACCTGAAACGCTTTCCAACAAAAAATTAGAAAGATTATTTTTCATTCACCTCTTCGAAATATTACTGCTTTTGAAATCTTTAAGGATATTTTTTTATCCATTAACTAGTTTTTCTAACTGTAAATAAAAATAGCAAGCTACCTGACGACGCTTAATATCTTCCATTTATTTTTTATTTATAAAGGTGCATTGGAATAACCATAAAATTATATCATTTAAAAAGTCATTTTATCTGAAATTTTTAATAACATTTCGTAATATGAATTACTTTACACCATTAGGATATGCAGCAGAAATGAAACCTAAGAGAAAGATGAAATTTTGTATTAGACTATGGAATGCAATTTTGTACATACATTTCTTTTTTTAATTTAGTTCAAATCATAATCCATTAATTTATAATTGTAATATTTTTACATATAGTTTCCATTTCGTTAATATTTTATATTTTTTGTTACTACTATTTTACGTTCAAAAATGAAATGCAAAAACAAATGGAGTTTCATAGTTGAAATTCGTTTGAATTTTAATTTTATTTACCTGAATGTGTTTTGTTTTACGTCGATAACTTTAAGTATTACTTTTGTTTTTTGAAAAGCAAAATTTAATTTCTCTAATATAATTTTCTTACTTATCTATAGAAACAGCTATTGTTAGGAAAATTAAAATGAAAATAATTCATTTTATATTTAGAAAACTTGTTATATATAAATAGAAAATATCTACGTAGAATTGTTTTTAAAAATTCTTTTATCTACTGATTTCTTACTGTAAACTGTTTCATATTTTTAAGCATATGATTTTCAAAAATAATCTGATATTACATTTTTCATTGCATGTTTAAAACCTTTTAGATTATAGGATATATTAAATGGAATAGTTTGATCACATTAGTATGTTTTTTATAAACGTTTAAATTATGATTTCGTTTTTTCTTATATATTTATGCAAGCCTCTGAAAAATATTACACAACATTAACATGTATTTATAAGTGTTTAGTGTTACACGTTATTACATTTTGAAAACAAAACGTTATTATACTTTGAAAGATGCTCTAAAGACGCAAGGTGTTTGAAAATGTTTAAACGATTCCCGGGGCAGCCATTTAAAATTTGCTTTCTTGATGCAAAAACATTCGTGATAATTTTGAGCAAAATATTTTGGGAAGTGGAAATAGATATACAATTAATATTCTTAAAATTCCATTTGACTTCAAATTCTTAGTATACATCTAATAATTACACAATCAATTTATGTGTGGAATAGAATTTCTTATAGCTGACGATTTTATTAGAAGTTATTATGTTGACAGACTTCAATTATATATTGTTCGAAAAATTCTCCTAAGAGTCTTTTTTATATTAATTAGTAGAAGAATTTTTAAATTACAATTTCATTTGTTTTTGAATTAAAAAAAATCTTTGTTTAAATAAAAATTTTAAAAATTTAAATTCTTTGGTTTCATTAATTAATAAATTATTGCGCTAAAAGTAATCAAATCGTAGCTTAGCTGTACTATTTTATATATTTTTACTACTATGATAAAATTTTAAATCAGTATAAATTAAATATGTATGCCATATTTTTTGCAAAGCAGAAATACCTCAGCTAATAAGAAATCTTTATATATATATAAGCGGCTAAAGTGTGTGTCGCCGATAGTTTATTGTTGCCACTCGGAAAAACGAGCGCAGAAATTAACGTTTCCGCAGTTTTTAATTAATATCTTAGCCAATTAAAGTCGTACGAACATGAGAACGATATCGATGGATTCGGAGAATGTTTTGGAATACGAGAATATGCGTCTTGAATTTCAACTCGGCGCCGTTCCGTAAATATTCGAGAAAAAAGAATTTGGCACGTAGCGAAATCCCTCTTATAGGGAAAACCCAAGAAAGAAAGTGGAAAATGTAGGGAAAACGTAGGGGAAAATTAGTTTTTAATTAATATCTCAGCTAATTAAAGTCCCACGAAGACGTGAATGCTCAAAATGGCGGGCCACGGACCTAAGGAATCCAACGGTGTGCTTCGCTAAGCCCGGGAGCCAGCCGT